AAAAAAAAAAAAAAAAAAAAAAAAGATCAATCGAAGATTCTTCAAGACTCAATGTTCAATGTTGTGGAAAAAAAAATTTTAAAACCTCGCAGATGGTTGAACATGTTGTCCATGATGACGTGCAGATAAATACTGATCGTAAAAGGTCTTCTGAATCTTGCAGGCTCTGAAATCGTGAATTGGACCCGCGTGACGCTTCACACCTCGATTGAACCCCATTGATTGATCAGCAAACCCTCGAAAAATGATAAAATTTATTTGTCAGTTATATTTGTTTTTTCAAATGATTTAAATTTTGGAATTATAATTGACCAGCTAATTTTTACAATTCCGAAGATGAGCAGGTTTTCATATTTCAATTAAAAATTAGCATTTGACTTCTCTCCAAAACCATGCGCGGACAATTTTCCTGAGTTCATCTCAGTGGATGGGCTGCTGAACTGTGAGCCAGTATGCTCCATATAATGAAATTTCCTTCAAAATATAAAATTATGTTTCTTTTAAATGTTGTTTAATTCAGTGTTCCCAAACCCATGGTCTATATACAGACTGGTGCCAGTCTGCAGATTTTTTTTTGCCTTTACGAAGGAAATGTTCTGCATCAATATAGTAAATTGAGAAAAGTAGCAATGATGTCTGTTACCTTCATCTGAAACCTTGGAAAAACAAATGATAGTTGAAATTATCTACAGAAAACATAAGTTGGCTGTTTTCTTAATTACACTTCAGAAAAATATTATCATGCTGAAAGAAATTATGTTAACTTTTTCAGTCTGAGAAACTTTTCTTCAAGCCCACCTTTCAAGATTGAAAAAAATTTTCACTATATATGCCTGCTTCATTGGATCTTAATTTTTCAAGAAACAGAAGGCTTTTTAAATGCCTCCCATAAAGCTTTATATGTAAAAATGTTAACAAAATTTTTTTTTAATTCATCACCACTTGCATTCTCAATGCTCTTCAGATGTGTGCTCAAAATGTTTTCTGTTCCTCAAACTTAAAATATTTTCATGTTTTTAGATGCTTCTAGAAGTTTAATTTATCCCTTTCTGGTTGGTTGGAAAAGGTTTATCATTTTGTTACAAACCAAACATGGAAACTTTTTGGAATATGCTTTATAAAAGGTTCAACTTACAGCTTATTGTAACTCAATCCATTGAGAATATTTTACTGCATGAATATTTTCATGCACACACGTGTGTGAAAAAGTTCAATGCATAACACATTGAACCATATTGAACACACAAATACATTTTATGGCGGATGTTGTGTGTATTTACAAGAATTCACAACAGTCTGAACAGTGTGTGATCACGTGTAAGTTACGGAAGTTTGAGTTTTTACATGAACTCCTTTAAGAATCAACTTCTATAGTCGCTTAATCAGACTCATTTTAAAACGTAAATCGGTTTTGAAAAAATTACCTGCAATGTGATGAGAGTTCTGGTTGTGGAAATGAGTGTGCTGTCGAAATTTATGTTCATCCTCGTGAGCAACCATGTCAGCAAGAAGACTCAACAGTTGTCCAAACCTTCCAGGCTCGATTTTCGTCGTGAAACTATTCCGATCCCCGAAAATTTTAGTAAAATGACATTTTCACACCATGATATAAACGGGGGGTTACACGGTTCCATGCGGATCAGCTTGTTATGATTACTGCTGATGTTCTGGGAAAGCTTCACAATAATTTAATAAATGAACGCATGGATCAAAAATGTTTAAAAACTGGTGGTGATGACATTGAGGTATCTGCCTATAGCCTCTTGGGACTACAGTGAACTCAAGAAAAATGTTTTTAAAAAATTTCTTGCGTTGAAATCATTTCAATTCCGCGCCGAAACGAGTCCGCGCAGAAACGTGTAACTCTTCGAATATTGCTGTAATATCTGGTTCGCAAAACTTACGTGAAACCGGTTTTCAGGAGTTGGTCGTCATTCGTGGGTTGCAGCAATTCAGCAGTAGGTTGTACCTTCTGATTCGCAGTAGTCGAATCAGAGGATCTCATGGCCTGCAAACTCTTTTTGGCATTGGCTGCCAATTCAGCGACAAAATCTGCAGCGTCTTTCCCTTCTGATGCAGCCTCGTCGTGTCTTTCATTTGATCGATCTTCACTTTGATTGTCCTCTGCCTTCTTCACCGACTCGGCACTTTCTGTGTCTGCCTCCTCTGAATCAAAATTCAGTAAAATTCGAAACTATATTCAATGCCAAGAGTCGCTTTATTTATTTTTAATGCACCATCGGTTGCAGAAAAATGTGCAGCATAAGACGCGCATCGTGACTTTTTTCCATGTTTTAATAAAATAAAAAAACAAATCGATAAACCCAATTTTTTCGATGAGACGATACGCAATTTATTCATTCAATTTGAGTAACTCAAGATACACAAAGAGTGGACCTAAAAAAACAGTACTCAATGAACCAGAAAAAATTCTCTATGCAGCGAAATTCGTTGTAATGGAAGAGAGTCAGTATAACATGGTGTAATAACCCTATTTTAACAAATAAAATTTCGTTATGCAGAGAAAATTCGTTGTAGACAAGATTGTTAAAGAGTCTACCAATGTATAAAGCTTTTTTATGCGTTCTTTAATGTTTTTAACATCAATTCAAACGAATTAAGTTCTTACGACCAAATGATCGAAGCATCTCGGGAATCATTTCTATGGACACTTAATAAATCCTTATATACGTGAACTCTGTACAACAATCTTGTCGACAACGAATTTCTGTTCAACGGATTTCCAATTTTTTTCAATAGGAATTTTCAATTCCTCTCATCTTCATTAAATATAGGTTCTCTACAACAGATTCCTCAACGCAACGAATGTTTTCCTGGTCCCTTGAGTTGATTTTATTCTTAATTTTTAGGGTGTTCACGGATCTCAGAAAAAATCTTCGAGCGAATAAGTCATAATTAAAAGTAAAATAATACCCTACTTTCTGAATATATTCACGAAACACCCTGTTTATTTAGCTTGCTCAAAAATCGAGAAACCTGAGAGCTGAGGGAAGTCGTTCAAAACCCGCCGATCCGCATCGACAACGTCGTCCAGAGGCTGAATAAAAAAATTGTTTTTAAAAATTCAAAAATTGTAAGGGAGTCAAAAATTACTCCATACTTTGCCCATTTTTTGCACATCAACTGCCTCCTTTTGCGGAAAATAAGCGCAGAGACTCACAGAGTCAAATGGTCTCGATTCACGACGAGAACAACTGAACGGCATCCTTCCCGAATCGTTGCCTGCATCTACCAAGGAACACTTCATTGAAGGGCAAATAATTTGCACTGAGATAATCACTGCCAATCAGTAGCAGTGGGGGAAAAAAAGAAGAGGTAATTAGGATGAAGCTATATATAGAAACACAAGATTAAACAATAAATCCGATCAGGAAATCCTGATGGATAGAAGGCCTCTCAGTGAAACAACTTTCGCTGTTTTGCACAATATCCCGTGCATACTCGTATATGCTTTAGGAAATGTGCTAATCAATCTCCTTCGCCTGAAGTCTTTTCTTCGAATTTGGTAGGTTTTCTTCCACGAAAAAGTTTGATCTGAAATCAGAGAAATGTAATCGTCAAGCAGGTTGTGCGTCTGATTCGAACTCTTGAAAATGTTGCTCAGCAGTTAATTTGAAATTAGACGAAATGATCACCAGGATTATTATTATTTTTTTGGAAACGTTGCGATTTTGCATTGTTTTCGAATTCTTTCTCGAAATTGTCTTCCATGATAGTTTTTCTGATCAGTGGTTATTATGTGGCTATCAAAGTAACTCAAATTGCATCATTCACGTCCTGTTTCATTAAAAGCATTAAATTTTTGCTTCTCAGTTGGGATTCATGATCTAGAGTTTATAGTTGCAACAGGTGCATGCTTGCAAAAGTTAGCACTAAATCCTCTGATATGATGAAACGGCTTGATTAAATTTATCTGGCTCGATTTATGGATTAAACGCGGGTATTTAAACCTAGGGACGATTCCTGTTGTTCTAAATGTATTCATAGAAGATGTTGAAAAAAATTCAGAATAATTTATTGCAGGCTGAATATAGAATAATCAAGGTCATGTAAATTGTTGAGCGTTCCAGAATGCTTGCTTCGGATGTATCAGCATGGAATACCTTGCAAATTGTCAGCCTTGAAAAGTTTAATGCCTTTCTTCACAATTATATTTCAGTCTTATTGAATAATTGGTTCACAGCATATAGTCCTGCTGGTAAATTTTTCAACAACGCTGAGGCAAAAAAAATTATGATGGAAGGATATGAATTTTTTTTGTTGCAGTTCTGACTTAAGCCTATGTACATAAATTATTTAGCTATGGTAACCAGTTTTGCTGGGATTTTTTTGGTTTCAAAGAGTTTTCTATATGGCACCACTCAATCACAGTTACCAATTATTTTTACAATTATATTTCAGATTTATTCCAAAAAGATTCACAGATATTCCTTGTAATTTTTTAAACTGCTGTGACAAAAATAAGGTTTATGATCATGGAAGGATGCCGCTTTCCTTTCGCAGTTTTGTCTATTTGCATAAATTATTGATTTTGGGTAACAAGCATTACTGGAGTTATTTGGGTTTCAAAGAATTTTCTATGGCGCCAGTCAATCTAAGTTACCTCTTATTCTTACAGAAGGCTCTAATTTTCCTGCAACTTATTCCTGAATTATTTTCCAAACTTTTTTATGAAAAAAAAAAGTTTCATTTTGCTACAAAGGCGCAGGAATTCTTCAAAACTGATACCCCAGCATGAATTATTATGATTCAAAAGCAGGTTATGTTCGGTATAGTGGCCCACGGGTTATCGATTAATATTACAATTCTTATACGTTATGATTCGCCAAGAAATCTTACAAGTGCCAGATTTCCTGCTCTGAAAATGCGTCACTGCCGAAGCCATAAAAGTAGCAGAATTTTCTAAAGTTAGCTCGTCGCGTCCCCATTCAAAGGTCCCACTCCAAACTCCTTCACTGAACAGTGAACACCATATCACCATATTCCCACCTCAGATCCAACTTATTTCCAGTTCACAACCCAGTCCTTTTTTTTATCTTTTTTGGTGGGGAAACCCTTAAATTCTTTAAGGGGCTCTCTAGGAAATAGTCGTCGTCTCCTATTTTTGTACAACCTCAATGAACCTGAGAAGCACAAACCGTGCCAACGGAACTTCCACAAGTTTTTCAGCAGGGGCTTGCCACTCACCTATTCAGTACTATACAGTATATACAGTAAAAAAAAACACTGAAGTGATGAGTCAATTATATATTATTTTTGCGTGTGTATATTTCTTTCTTTTCTTTTAGAATTTGAGACGAAATTTTCACGACCAATGAGCCCAGTAAAAATCGGGAAGTGAGGAATTTTCTGACAAACTAAAAAAAATTTAGTGGGGCCCGAAGACTCAAAGAAAAATTCGTCTGTGACTGATTTATACTTTTGCGAATGGCTGCATGTTGGATCAGATTTTGCATTAAACTTCAATCACATCTCAGAAATGGCAAAAATAGCAAACAGATCCCCAAAAACCACTATAAAATAGTTTAGTAACCTTAAAACGTGGAATATGAACGTGAAGAAGTGTTCCCAGTTGATTAAAAAATAGAGATCTGGAAAAAATTCAAAATTGGCCTCGTTTGTGAAAATAAATCAGGGAAAATTTACAAGGTTTCTTGAACGTTCTTTCCTTGAAAATGCCTAATTTTTAATGAGATATCAAAATTCGAAATAATAATATAGTAGTAATTAATTTTCTTTGAAATGTGACCGTGTCCATATGTGACAGTGTTGAAGAACTTATGTTTTATAATCCCCTTTTAATGATCACAATTTTCCTAAAATTCCTTTCTTTTAAATTGGAAATTGAGCTTTCTTCTGATCACAATGGAATTTTGGTTGCGAGATTTTAGTGCATATACGTACAGTTCAAACATATGCTGTTAAATTACTATAGGAAAGTATAGCATGGAAAGTTCAAAACTAAAGAGCTGTTGATTTCTGAAATTAAATCTGAAATGATTCTTGTTTTAACAATGCAGTCAAGTGTTTTTGAATTATTTGAATTATCTTTCTCCAGGGAAATTGACGGTTTATCTCGGTAAGCGAGACTTTGTTGATCATCTGGGAAAAATTGATCCCATTGACGGAGTCGTTGTTGTGGACACCGATTATCTGCAAGGAAGAAAAGTTTTCGGACTGGTGAGTCATCTTCAATCCAAATTGTTCATTGAATTCAAATTGCTGAATTGAATAAACTCAATTTAAAAAGAAAATTCACGATGACTTCCTTTCACCACAAACATCCCTATTTTTTCAGTCACAAAATTTGAATCCAAACACGTCTTCATAGTGCAGGAGTCAACTCAATTTCACCATGATCCAATTTGTTTCACAGAAAACCGGTACTTCAAGATAGAGTAATGGTAGGAATTTTGCCAATTTTATTCGGAAGAGGATTAGAAAATGCGTCAGAAATCCGTAAAGTTTTGTAATTTGCCCGATCATGTCAAAATAAAATCAGTCAGGGAATTTTTAAATGATTATAATCGTAAATATATATGTAAATTTTTCACGAACGATTTATAATATTCAGAATCGAATAGTTATGTTTGGCTCGGGAAAATCGAGTTTCCAATTTGAACATTTTCCACATTACAGTATTTTGCTGTTTGAAGAATTTTGTAAGCAGGTTTTTTGTCAGTTGAATATTGTTGACATTTTTTCACTATTTATTTGGAAGTTCAAGGAACTTTTTCATTTCATCACAATTGAAAGTCAAAAGTGAGTCAGTGAGACGCTGTTTCAAAAAATGATGCAGTATTCCTTGTTCAAGGCACCATTTAACTTTAATTGCAGAATTTTAATTCTTTGAAAAACTTCAGAATAGTTTGTTAATTGATGAAGATGACAAATTTATGCGAATTTTACAGGTGAACACAACATTCCGATATGGACGCGAAGCAGAAGAGACCATGGGTCTCAAATTCAGCAAAGAGATGTGTTTGGGGTTCTGTCAAGTTCATCCTTCCAAACAAGGGTCAGGTGCAGTCACTTCTCTTCAGGTAAAAAACACAATTTGCATTTTGTAGACAGAAAATGTTGTGATCATCATGGGAAATTTTAAGCTAATTTTTTTTTTTCAATTTCGTACCTTTGTTGGATGATAGATTATTGATCAAGGTCCCTGTGGAGGAATTTCGTGGGATATCTCGACAAACTCCTTGTTTATAATCGAGAAGAAAAAGTTTGCACCAGTTTCTTATCGCTGATGAAAGAAAATTTATTTCATTTGTAAGGTAAGAATTTGTAAAAAAAAAATCAACTTTCAACGGGATAAACTTTAAAAAGTCATTGTCAATTAAGGGAAATTTGCTGTCAAATAACGATTCATTTTCTTTCCTCTTCTTTCATTAAATACATGAACTCGTATACATGACTTGAACTGGTTTCATAGTTCTTTTATTTTCTTGAAAAGGTATATTTATTGGTGTATCATGTATGAAACCCTATTTTTCTGCTTTGATTTTTCATAAATGAATTACGCGAGCTGGTACTTGCATATGAATGCATTACATTAGGATTAGCCCAGTTATATCTTTTGTCAGGCCNGGAAAACAGTCAAGTGTTTCAAAGTCGGCATTATCCAGCACTGCGAGGTGACTGTGGTGAATGCCCAGTTCTCCAGAGAGGTCGCCTCTCTGCAGACCAAAGAAGGGTGCCCCATCACCCCGGGGGCGTCCCTCAACAAGCAGTTCTTCCTCACCCCAGTCGCCGGGGATAACAAGAAGAAAGAGGGCGTCGCTCTGGACGGTCGCATCAAGGTAAGAAGACTCAAATAATAATAATAATAATAATAATAATACTAACAGCCATAATTTCTCCATTTGTCCAAGAAAAATGTTCAACGGATTTTTAGAAAATCACGTTTCCAATAACGAAGACGTATGTGTATACGAGGTTTCAAATATTTCTAATCTCAAATGTTGGCAAGACAATGGCAGTTATCTCATGAAAAATATATTGTGGCTTTTCTCCTAAGATACTTCAGACCAATTTTTACCTGATTTAAAAAATTGTTTAAATTTTTGAGTCTGAAAAGCCATTCCACTGTAGCTGCTTTGATGGTTCTTGACTTAATTTTTGCACAAAAAATAGCAAAAGCTTTTCAAATGGCTGCAATTCAAGCTGTCTTACAAGCAAAACTTTTTTGAGCAAGCAAAAATTTCATAAAAATTTGCTGGTCTTCAGAAAATTTCATGCTAAGGCTTGTCCTCAGAAAATTGTTTGGAAATTTGCTGGTCTGCAAAAAAACTTTATGGAATTTTGCTGGTCGGCAAAAAACTTGATGGAAATTTGCTGGTCTGCAAAAAACTTCATGGAAATTTGCTGGCCCGTAAGACCAAAAAAGTTGGGGAACACTGGTATAAACAATAATGGGTAAGAGGAAAATATTTTAAAGTTTTGGGTGGCCTAACAAATTTTCCGCCGCTGTGAAACGGGTGGGAGAACTCTGGCTGTAACTGGAAAGATTTCACTCATCATCATGCAGTAATTTGAAAAACTCTTTTA